ACTACATCACCTCCCCCCTCCTCCCTCCCCCTCTCCCCCGTCTCCTCACCCTCCCCCATCAAACCACTCCACCACCCCCCCCCCTCCTTCCTCCCCCACTCTCCCGTCCCCCTCCTCCCCCGTCTCCTCACCCTCCCCCATCACACCACTACGTCACCTCGCCCTTTCTTCACCTCCCACGTACAGGTGGTATCTGGAAGAACAGCTGTTCCTATGGCGACAGCGCCGTCGTCGTCTGCCTGACTTTCGGACTCAAGCAGACGTCGGCGTCCTGCATCTTCACGGAGGTCGTGTCGCATGCTTTGGTCGCAAGCGAGTTCTACTCATACTGGGACAGCGACTGTCCCGCCGGTCACGTTCGCTACATTGACTGCTTCGGCATGCGACAGAAAGACGGGACGTGCCGACCGAGTGAGTGAGGGAGGGAGGAGGGAGGAGGGGAGAGGGAGGGAGGGAGGGAGGGAGGGAGGAGGGAGGGAGGAGGGAAGAGAGGGGGCGCGAGGTCGTGAAGGGATGGAGGGAGAGAGAAAGGGGAGGGGGGGAGGTGGGAGGGAGATGGAGAGAGGGAGGGAGGGATGGAGAGAGGGAGAGGGAGGGAGGGGAGGGAGGACGGGAGGGGGATAGAGAGAGGGAGGGAGGGAGGGTGGGAGAGAGGGAGTGAGGGATGGAGGGGGTGAGAGGGAGGGAGGAAGGGAGAGATAGATAGATCGATTTATAGAAAGAAAGTGAGAGTGAACGAGACAGAGAGAGAGAAAGAGATAGGGTGAGGGAGTGTGATCCATATGCTGTAATGAGAGGGAGAGGGAGGGTCGAACAAGTGAGAAAGAGATAAAGAAAGCGATGAACAAATGGGGAAAGAAAGATAGATAGACTGGGGAGAAAGATAAGGACAGAAAAAGGAGAGGGAGAGATAGATAAATAAAGGAAGAGAGATAGAGAGGAGAGAGTGAGAGTGTGTGTGTGCGCGTGCGTATGTGTGTAAACACGCACACGCACACACACCCCAGCTTAGCCTGACACTACTCTCTCATCCACAGACGGTCGCTACGGCGGCTGGACCGACTGGCGCAACCTATCGGCGGAATTCTCGACCTGCATGTGCGAGCGTGGCGCCCCCCTCACTGGTATCGCTGACGTCGACGTTAACACAACAGCGACCAGCGTCGTAGACGACTCGCCTGTGCCCGTCAGCAGGTATCAGCTTACCTGTAATTAATAGCTTGTTACCGGATATCGTTATCATTATTATCGTTGAATTATTAAATTAGTTCATATATATATTAATCATCGTTTTTGTAACAATTAAAAAAAATTAAATTGATAAATATTATCAATAATTTATTAATAATTATTCGATTTTAAATACAGCAAATTATATATTTGTGTGCTTATTTTATACTTATAATTGTAAATTTATTCGTTATTTTATTCTGATTGGGAGCTTGAATGTTGCAGGTATAGGTTCTGTACGAGTCCTCCACCGCTGCCGCATCCACTCATGAAAAAGCTATACTGCCAGGGTTCAATGTTTGCTGAGGGTGTGGGATGCGAGGCTCTGCTGTGTAATGGAACCAACTGCAACGACCTGCACTACAAGGTGCGTGGGGGTGCGTGTGTGTGTGTGTGTGTGTGTGTGTGTGTGTGTGTGTGTGTGTGTGTGTGTGTGTGTGTGTGTGTGTGTGTGTGTGTGTCGTGTGTCGTGTGTGTGTGTGT